CATAGATGTACCAATAACACAAATTTCATCTTACAAAAAATATCAATGGATCAATCAGAATTTATTCGATATCGAAGTGTACAAAAACAGTGTGAACTTGAAGAGAGGTATATCCTACGCCAGTTTTTAATTTAATTGTTATATTAATATTTATTTTGGTATTATTTAAAAAGTAAACTAAGTATAATAATTCAAAGTAAATATTATTAAAAGTTATGTTATTTTAGTTTTTAAGTTAATTATTAATATGTAATTATTATGTTGTAAAAAACAAAAATATGAATTAAGAGTTGTGGGATATGGTGTTGAAGTTTTTAGAACAAACCATTGTGGAGATTTAAAATGAAGTGGATGTTGAATAAATTAGGTGAAAGTGAGAGAAGATGATGTGAAATGTTAAAAGGGGAAAATGATGGTGTTTGTAAATGATCTAATACCAATTTTCGATAAAAATATTTTTCTCCTCCGGCTTCTTCTACAATCGACGGATTTAGCGTTTACCTAACTGAAAAATAAGAGTAGGTTGTTGGAATAAATGTAACTAGGTCTTGACCTGTGCGACTGCAAGGGTATTAATTTTCACTTTTAAAGATAAATTTGTATTTTGTATAAATTATATAAATTATTTATAGTTTATACATATAATATAATTGTTTAATATAGTAATTTTAAACATAGTAATCATATTTATTACATTAAGTAATTATATTTTATTTTATAGTAGTCAACTTTATTATCCATATTTTTATCATAGAAATTTATTGTATTCAATTTCAGTTGAATTTTATTTATACGAAACTATGCCATCAATAACATATTAACGAAATAATTTCTGGTTTTTATATAGTATATAAATGATTATTTTATGTGGTTTTTACTTTTTAGTTTTACTAATAAAATTAAAATATAACTATATAATTTTAAAACGATATTGTGTTCTAAATTTAGTACACAGGTATGTGAATCGGTTTATGTGGCTTGTACAGGTTATTTTATGTTGATGTAAATTTATTATCGTTTTACGTTTAAAATTAAAGCATTTTATCATTTACCCATCCGTATTCTAAATCAATTATGTATAAATGCATGTTGGGCGTTACATAAGTCTTTTTTGACTACATCCAATAAATACATAACTAAATAAAAATGTAAAACTCAAAAAGTAAAAATTTAAAATAGCTAACTAATACTCTAAATACTAAAAATTACTTGAAATATTTATTGATTCTCCATCTAAATATTCAGTTAAAACCAATTTTATGTTAAGTTTAAGTATTCTGACATATATTATTCAAATTTATATGTTATATAGTATTTTATTTTTAGATTTTGAGAAAAGTGAAGAATAAATGAATTTTAAATTTCTAAAATAATTTAAACGGGTTATCCACCAAACTCGGGCCAAATTTTACTAATACCTAAATGAGACTGAAATATTTAGCTCTGAAAATCCAAAAACTGAATAGATCTGAACCGATCCGAAAAACGTATCCGAATATCTACCCCTAGGCTAGATTATAGGAAGTAATTCTTATTCAATCGTACATGATTTCATTTTCGTAATATAATTTATTTTTTAGCTAGATTGTAAAAATAAGTTTAGTCACCAATATATGGAAAGGTTATGATTTAGGTGACAAATTATTATTTCGAATTTTACTATAGGGAATATTGCAAATATTTTTTTGTGAACGAAATTGATTCTATTGTTATTTATAATTTTAAATAAATAACAAAATTTTGTAACAATGAGAATCGTTTGTTATGATTTCAAAGAATATGCGGAGGTATGTATTTCTTTAATAGAACTGTTAGTTATGATTAGGGTAACCTAAATTTTTGTATAGTAAATGTATAACTTAATACACTAAAATATATATAAATAATAATGAAGTTGATAAACAGTTTTGTTAGTGCTGATAAACAAATATGGATGAATAAGAAGTGTTATGTAGGTGAATCTTGAAATCAAATGTGCTATTGGGAAAAAATAGTTTAGAGTCAGCAAATATATAAATAACTAAAATTAGAAATTGGTTTGTATTGTATCAATGGACACCTTTTTTAATAAAGTTGTAATGGTTAAAATAATTCATATTAATAATGTACGTTTAGCTTATCAAAATTTTAATGCATGGTATATATTAATTATAGAATAAACTAAATTTTTGTGCATTTAATTTTGTAAAGACAAGAAAGACATAAAAATAGGAATAGTTATTACATCAGTGGCATTAAAATGTAAATAAATATTAATTAAAGGGTATATTTATATTGGGACTTCTCTTTTAATAATATAGATGGATCATTGGCTATATAAGAGCACTCTTATTGATAGATCCCTCCTAAAGTTCTTCCAAATTAATAAATAAATGAGTAATTGCGGAGAATAACCATAAACACAAAATATATTAACAATCTGACTACCACCTTTTTGATATTAGCTATCTGACTATCGAACCATGTGTGTAATATCTAAAATAACCCTACGGTCATCCTTCTACCTAAGATTGTCGGTAGACAAACCTATATGTTGTCACTGTCATATAGTGTTTTATATAGTGCTTTCTGTATGAAATGTCAGAGCCTGTCGGTTAACAAATAGATCATCTCCAAAAAGCTAATTAATTGAAGAAAACATCAACGGTGATGGGAAGCGGAGTGACCAAATTCTTGATCATGTTATTATACAGAAGATAATTAATCCTCTGGTTATGTTGTGATATTACAATTTTAAGTACTTAAACTATATAATAACCAAACCAAAATCAATGTCAAAGCTTCGATGATTGGAGGAAAGAAAAAGGAAACAAGATTTAGAGAGATGGAACAAGAACTCAAGAACCTCATCAAGGTTCGATATTTGTATTTTATTCGAAACCACGAGCTGCGGCATATCAAACCTCGCCGATTCCATGAGGAGTCCACACACGTCTTCACCAACAACACGGAGGCGAGAAGAAGCCACGCCGGAGCGGAGAGAAAGCTCGAGTAATCACCATCCTTAAGGTCCTACCAACAACAACTGCAACCCTCACATAATATGTACAAACCCTACGTCCCGATGCTTAACCAGTGGAAACGACATCTTTTTGTCGTCCTCAAACATAATCCGGTTAAAATACGGTGTAAAAACCGGTTACATATACACGAAACCGGAAGCGAGAAATAAGTTCAGTAAAAATAGGGGTGGTTATTATATTGTTAATAACCGGTTATATAACTCGGAAACCAGCAATGAAATTCATGTGTGCACTTCGATATATTTGAGTATAAGTATGGATCGATTAAAAAATAAACTAATCAAAAACCGGTTATATAGCATTGAAATCAAATAATTTGAAGAGTTTTAAACCGGATATAATATTTAATAACCGGTTAATGTGAAAAAATACAATTATTAGATAATGCATATCTGTACGTAGTTGCTTTCGAATAAAATATTAATATCGAACCTTGATGAGGTTCTTGAGTTCTTGTTCCATCTCTCTAGATCTTGTTTCTCCAGAAAAAGCTGGTTTCTCCGCAATCTCCAACATTTTACCAAATGTTGAACGCTGAATCTGCTTTTTTCATCATTATCAAGAGAATTTAAAATGCGTTTCAACGCCCGAGACGACTGGTAAATCAGTACACGAACAGCGACAGGTTCTACGCCAGATACAAAACATCGTTTCCGGGATCATATTTTCCCTATTCGTTGTTTCGGAAAGTTCATCAGTACCCGCCGTAAGTGATTCCATCTTCACAAAAAAAAGGTAAAACGAATGAGGAGATTTTTTTTTCCAGATCTGGAATGATCATCTGAAACGGGATTTAACTCTTGAAAAGTTTCTGAAAGTTCATAAGTTACTGCCTTAAGTGATTCCATCCTCACAAAAAAAAATGTAAAGCGAAGGAGGAGATTTATAACTCCTGAAAAGACGTTCCTCAGTCAGATGAATTTCTTCAAATTTCAAATTAACTACACGCTTAGTAGCTCAGAAGCTAGATCATAGGCCACTCATGTATCTGACAACACTGTCGAATATGACATCTTCATCTATAGGGGTATCCATGTAAAACCACCACACTTGTTTTTTGCTGCCATTATACTTTCCATTTACCTAATTAAGTTTTCATCTTACGTTATTCAGCTAATAAGCTCTAAATAAATTTCTTTTATTTAATAAAATCACTCTAAAATCAATTAATCATTAACAGGATAAACAAATTACAAATGTTTTTTAATAAGTTAGAGATATATAATATCTCTGCACCGGACTGTTTCTCCTTCTCTCTCATACTTTATCTCTGTTTTTATTTTTCAATTTTTATATATTCTATTAAAGGTCACCAGTGGATATGTTCTAAGACGTCTTTAAAAATGTAATGGATCAATAATATTAAAGTAAAATTTTTATTAGGATTATTTTCTTACTTTTGAAATTATTTACAAGGGAATGTCACTCTTTTCTTTAGATATCATAATTAATTAATATTAATTAAACCATTAATTTACGAAATATTCCAAAACTAATAAGAAAATCAATCATCTATAATTTCTTTCATATATTATTTTATTTTCAAAATGTACCACTATATATATTATCGTAAAAACTATTTACACCAATTTGCTATAAACATACACACTATAATTTTATATAATAATGTTTGAGAATAATATAGTTTTCAGTTTAGAATTTTTGTATAAACACTGAACTAAACACTATTTATATTTTATCAAAAATAATAATGAAAATTTTACTAAGTTAAAAATGTTGAAAATGAATATTCAGTATGTAAAATTGATATTATAAATATTTCTGTACACAAATATCTTAACACAATCAATCTAATGTGTATATAATCATTTAACTTAATCATATATAAGTTCTCTCATTTATCATTTTTTTTTTCAAAATGTACCACTATATCTATTATCATAAAAACTAGTTACACCAATTTCCTAAAAATGTACAAACTATAATCTTTTTATTAATATACAGGTAATTGTATCTATTATTGACAAATTAATACAAAGGTATATGTAGACAAATTTATTCTCAATATGGCATGTTTTCCCAATTTTCCGTCAAAAGTAAAAAAAAAAAAATTCATTTTACATAAGAATGGAAGAGAAACCGAGAAACTCAACCAACTAGCACACAAGACAAGTGCTGAACAAAGCTTATCAACCTTCAAGAATCTCACTCTTTTTCTTTCTCTTCTATAGCTAAGCTCTAAGAATATCTCACTATATGTGTGTGACAACTGAATAATTTAATAAGCAACTTTTTCTTTGAAAATAACAAATCTATTGCAGAATCCCTTAAATTGGAGGAGCATCTTGAGGAGTGAAAACCCTGTGGTGGCAAGTAGGGTTACAAGGGTAAGGACAATCTATCTTCTGAAACAATTTTCTATCATAAACCCAATCTCCAACAGCTTTAGCTATTGTCTGCTTCCATAAATAATTAAGAAGAAAAGTGATCAGAGAACACAAAATTTAGTTTTTTTTAAATGACCTTCTGTTTCATAAGAATTTGGACAAGAGTTTACCGTTCGGTTTATAATTGGAGAATCTTGCCAGAACCAAGAAGTTTGTGTCTCGGTTTGGCAGTGAGTGTAGCATGAGTCTATAAACATCCCTCTTGATGCAGATCTTCCTAAACCTATCACTGCGCTCAAGAACTCTAACCTGAAATCTAAATAACATACAACCCGGTTAATGCAAATGATGTTAAGAGAAGACCAACACCGAATATCATATTATTGAATAGTTTTTGGTTCTGAGGCTTACCTTGCATAACTTTGAGCTGGCTTCGTTGGCAATTCTTGATGTCAAGCTGACAACCCTGCCACTTTCCATCAGGATCAGCAGCACGAGGAGCCAAGATGTTCTTGATCTGAGAAAGAATTGTGATATTTGAAGATCCATATTTAGAGAAATAATGTAGTTACAAAGAGATAACCTACCTGCCAAGAGTCGTATGCTGCATTAAGAATGAAAACAGGAGTTCTAATTTGGCGAGCCACATATTGTGGGAAGAAACACTGCAAATATTTGTCAATAATGATTATATGAGTAAATTTAAGAGAAACCAAAAGGGGCTTTAAAGAGAGAACATGAATTGTTTTTCACCATTGCAGGGGTCAATCTTGATGTGCATGACCTTGGCAAATTCTTTGCTGATCCCTGAAAAAGCATTTCATTAATAACTTCAGACAACAAGATGAGAAACTGTATATACTGTCAGTAGAGAGGAAGAAGCAAATAAACCGCTTACATGTAGTGTTACCACATCGTTAAAATATGATTTAATGTATTGAGCTCCTGAGACATCTCTTCTGAAAAACATAGCAACAAAATTTATTGTTATTGTATAAAAAATTCATATTATACAGCTAAATGTATAAATCTCTGGTTTTTAAACCAGTTGATAATAGATAAAGAAATGTTCATAATGGAGAAATCTTACGTGTTGAGAAAGAAACCAGCATCTGAAAGACATTTTACATTGGTACCCATTGGTAATAGAGCTCGGAAACTGTCACAATGCATCAGTGAAGCTAACCCACCAGCAGAACACCCAGACAAAACAGCCTGCCATGGTTCATCAACGCTTTAGACCACTTTTTAGGATCAAAGGCTTGCAAAATTTATTGGAGATCGAAACTAACATTCTCGGCGTTTCTCATGCCTTTAGCTAGCAGCTCCTGCATAACAGCTAGCCAAACCCGAGCACCTCTGAAGTGAAGATTAGTAGCCTGATCAAACCACCATTTCGATTATTGAATAAGGAAGATAAAAAAAACTCTTCCTTGACAACACGAAAACAGTTCTCATGTTTTCTTTTTAATACTCACAGGGTTCACTGCTTGCACATCTCCTGTGAATGATGACCCATCACAATATCTAACTTTCACTCTGTTCCAGTTGTAAAAATCTGCCATTTCCAAAATAAAAGTCCACCCAAAATCCGTAAGGAAACCAAACTCATGTTTTGATCAACAGTTAGTAAAAATCTAGTTGCATCCCATACCAGGATTACGCTGTTCCTTATTACTAAGAATAGCTGAGAAAGCAAGATTGTTCACCATTTTCTTCGATGAACCTAATTTTGTATGCATCCGACTAATGCAGTTTGTTACATTATGACACCATCCTCCTCCCTAGAATCAAGCATTTCCAAAAACACTTAATTAACTTTCACAAAATTTTCATTCAAAATCATCTCCCATGTTTCCAAAAGATTATATCAGTAACCAGTAAAGGCCGTAAACTATTTGTTGGGTTTGAAAGTGAAAATCTCGGTGCACTAAAATGATACACTTATTGAACATGATTATTGTTTTTAATTTAAAACCCCACCTTTAACAAATAAGGTAGCTTCCTAAAAGGAAAAATGCATATCGGTTTTGAAGTTGTATAAATAAGAGTGCAATTTGTTGTAAATTATTAGTTTCACACAATCAGTATACATACCACCCTAAAAAGAATATTTGCCTTGATCAAATTTCACTTCCTAGTTTTCTTACTTTTTCAAGTTTCCTTAGCATTAGTTCACAACACCATTCCATAAGCAGGAGTAAGCAGAACCAGGAATAAAGAGAACACAAGAGGGGGGAAGCAGAACAAAACCTCAAGCTGTATCAACCAGCTATTGATTCCAGTTCCAGAACCTCTGTCTAAATGATAAGCTGGTGGACTACCATCCAAACAAACTGCAAAAAATAAAATCATGAACTTAAATATCATTTTGAACAACATTAATTTAGAAACGGATATACCGGTCCCCATTACAGAGTTGGGGAGAGATATTATTCGCAAAAATCATAACACCCAAAACAGAAACACTGACCAAGTTAAAGATTATATAATATGAACTCACCAGCCCCTTTTGCGACGGCGTTACGAACAAATGTGATATTAACGAGCAATCCTTTTGCTTTCAAGATTGCTAATGAACATACCACAAGAATCAACCATTGCTTGAAGTTGAACATTCTGACTAAAGAAAACAAAAAAAAATAATTTATTAATGGAAGCAACATGTAAAAAGTGAAGAGCTAACAAAAATGGCATTATAGTACCTAAAAAAAACAATACATTAGCAGACAAAACTCTTCTTAGTTTAGATCCAAACTAGTTACATCATTTCTTACCTAAAGAATGTTTTTTCAGTTCTTACAAAACAGAACAAATTAAAAGCTATTCCCGGAAGTTTTTCTCAGGATATTTTTCCGGACAAGAAGTGAAGGAAAAAATCGAAGTATTTTCCTCTACGTAGAAGAAACCAACGAGAAAAAATCAATTTTGCATACTGGGAAAAGAATAAGACTTTCTTGGAAAGAAAGTTTTCTATCACAAACACACTTACTTGGAAAGGCGGTTTCTTTCAAAACCTACCCAACCTGCGATTAGTCTAAACCACCAAGTTTCACTTCGCTAACTCGGATGTTGACTCAGTTTCAGCACATTTCCCGAAGAAGCTGCTTCCGAGCAATGGCGGGAGAAGTAGTAAACCGTTTGTATAACGTGTGTTTTGGATCCAAACCTTTTTGGTGTGTTGTCAGGTCTCAGCGTTTCTTTTTCAGAACCCAAGAGCCGACACTGATCTGTTCGGATTTGGTTTTAGAAAAACAGAGAATAATAAAACTAGGAATTGGTTGTGTACGAGAAGATCATGTGTTTATATACGGTATATGTTTTAGATTTTACCCTAATTATTAAGTACTTTACAAACTTAACTTTTGTTTATTTATTTTTGTTTATTTTCTCTGATCATAACCTTTACTCACAATACAATATATATATATATATATAGTAGACTCGACAGTTGGTATCTATTCGATTTCAGATAGATTATTTTTCAGATGTATTTCATTAAGTATCATATAAACAACAACTAATTCATTTCTGTCGAATATATTGTAGTTGGAAAGAAAGAAAAAAAAATATTTTAGTTTGGTTTTGTATGGATATTTGAAACAATAACTTGCTTGGAACCAAATTTTTTTTTTATCTCCAATAACATTTAAAAGAAACTATAAATGTAAATGTTTTTTTTAGGTTGCTTTTCATGAAAACTGTTTGATTCCATAGCATTTTTAATTGCAACACATGTGTTAGTTGTGAAAAATAGTTCACCCCAAAGAATAATAGTGATAATAATTTATAAAGGGAGAGACCTTTTTAATTTAAAATATATGTTGCTTTTAAATTATAGTGTAATTTCTATATTTGTTAAATTCATAATACGATTTCTAATGGATTTAAGATAGTTATTTATAAGGTTCCTAAATATGTATACATACATCATTCATGATAAATATGCTATGAATTGAACTTATAACTCAAAATGGCAAATTAACGATCTTGAGAGATAGTTACCAAAAAAAAACAATCATGACAGACAATTTATTTGCTGGGTGCACTATCATTAATAAAACAAATAAGTGAGAGAAGAGGCTTTGAACCCAGGTTTCTGAGGTGCACAACCTTACTTTTCCATCTAATCCAATAGTTTTTTTGTTTTCTTTAACGAAATTTCATTTATCTATAACTATTACAGATGCATAGGCCCCCATAGTCTACATATAGCATGGCTTCACCCCTGATGACAGATTATTAAATGACATCTGGTTTGTTGATTACTTCGTCAAAACTAGAAATGACATTGATGATTGTGTGGATTTTTTTTGTCTTTGTACAATGATGATTGTGGGGTTGTTGACTCACATAAACTAAATATAAGGGGTTGTATATCAAAGTTTGACATAAAAATAGGGTTTTGAAATTTGAAGAAAACTTCAGTTCGGAAATGCTATAACTAGTGGGTTGATGACACCAAAGTAAATCAGTGTCGGAGTGGGTGACGTTATCCGGTCGTACCGGCAATGGCGTTGTTGAAATGAAACGAATCTTATCAGCTTACAAATTACGCCACAGCCAACTAACGGTTGACTAATTCTTCGGGAAAAGTTTTATACCTAAAATGTACAAAAACAAATCAAGAAAAGCCAAATTGAAAACGAAAAAAGCATCTCGTTTTGTTCGAAAGTATTATTCGCAAAAAATGATTTACAATGTATGAGTATAAAAGGTTAGATTTTTGTAAGAAACACAGCTGTTACTGTTAGTAATTTTTAGAAAATGAAAATCATTCGAAAATTGTTAAAGATAATATATTTGATAGACAATATTTTTTTTTTACGAAAGGCTTCATTTGATGGACATTTTTCATTTAAAACATTTTGAT